AGTCAACCCTGAGCCGGTGGGATTTGAACCGCTGAACTGCTGATCTAGCAGTAGCCTGCAGTGCTGCATTTAACCACTGCGCCACCTCGGCTCTACTGGGTGGAACTACATCAGACATATGGGCAGAGGTTTGGGAAGAATGAAGTTGGAGGCCCTTTTTGTTTTTCACTGGATAAACTTATTTTATGGCTCACACAACTTGTACCTTCCACATCAAAATGGCAGAAACAGCTTCTTTATTCAGAGTCCATATTTGGGCAGCTCAGCGAGCCAGAAAAAGCGGTGCTAGGGGAAAATGGCCATCTGCAGGAAGCCATTGGGGGATTTGTTTGAGGCATTGCATAATATTAGTCCCAACAGTTACGACTTGTGAACGGTGAATTATGGTTCTGCATGTTTTGTGAACCCAGCCAATTGTGGTTTACTTAAATATGCCTAGATAGACTGTGACTTAAAATAATGTACCAATCCTGTCCAAGAAATGACATGACTTTCTAAGATTCTGCAATGAAGTTTGGCTTCCCATTTCACTTTGGGAGATCCATTATTTTCCTACTCGAATCTGGCTAGCAAAGGCTGTGGTCCGAACCACAGCCTTTGCCAACGTCTTGCAAAAGCAGTTTTTCCTCTGAAAAGCTTGGGCGTCTCGCGGCTAACCAAGTGGTTCTTGACATGGCAGAAAAACGAGGCAGATGCTGTTACTCTGGATGCCACCCATGCATACTTTGCAGAGACCTGCACACTCGCCCCTGTGGCTGCAGAGTGTTACGGTAAGGTTTGATTTTCATTGAAACCATAAGTAGAAAAATGAAACACCAGGAATGCCCTTTGAAGCAGTATGGGCCAGGCGACAGGGGAAAAGCCCATGGGAGCATCTGGGGAACTCTTGAGGAACAACAATCTGGATGACGCATAAAATGTTTAGTCTTTCAAAGCATCAGTTAGAAAGAAAGTGTCAGTTTAACGTCTGTGTGGGTTGGGGGGGGGGCTGCCCTTCATGCTTGTGAATTAAAAAGATGAGGCATGCAAGGGGAGGCTGGCTGGAAAGGATGCAAACTAATGCAAAACAACTATGCAGCCACAGGCTATTTCTTTGCACTTGACAGGTCTCCCGTGAGGCCAGGTTGCTCAAATCCTGGGCCAGAAGATCCCACCCCTGTCACTGTGCGGCTCTCATATGTGAGGGAGAAGGCCATTTCCTCCCAGAGAGCAAACTTGTGATTTTGTGGGTTTTCTAACCCGCTGCTTTTGTCTGATGAGCCCCGGAGAGAGGCTCTTCATCCTTCTGTCTCTTCTCACAGGAGAAGAATGTGCTCCCACAAGGGAGGAACTGGACCTGTTGACCCACGTTGGGGGTAAGTGGGAGTGAGCATAAACACAGGAAGTGCCCGCTGTGGGTGCTGTACCTCGAGCGGTGCTTTGGCACATGGTTTGTCCTGCTCTAATGCTCTCTTGCTAGAGGCTGATTAACGTATTTCAGAATTAAGGAAAATGACACTTAATGGCCAGCAGCAGGAAATCTGCTCTCTGTTAAATAGTTCTTTATATGAGCCACCAGGAAGGCTTCACGGGAGGCCACCTTGAAGGAGATACATGTTCCTATGTAAGATCCAGTCTCAGGGTCTCTGTTCCCACAAAGCCTCTTCATCTTGAGATGGTGGCATCCATGTCCATTTGCACTTTGTGGAGTTTTAAAAGACATCCTAGTCTAGTTTTTTTTAAAGTATTGCTTTTAACTGCTTGTTACTGATTTCAAAGGTACGTTTTCTTTATGTTCCCTGAATGAAATAAAATAAACAGCAGTAAATGTGGAATATATGGAAAAGTAGTGCAGTTCTTTCTGAGAGAGTTCTGCCACTAGCAAAACTGCCCTGTGCGACATCGATGGTTGTTGCAACGGAAAGCATTTTCTAGAGTTACCAAACTATCGCTATTCTAATACGTGAATAGCCTCGCTTATCACTTCAGTAAAATCAGGTAAGTGCTAAGGAGTGTAAAATGGCCGCACTAGATAAACCCAAACAGAGAATCAACTCCTTGAGGAGTTGATGAAGGTAACATGAAAGTTATTTTAACTAAGGGAACGGTGTCTTCTTGCAATGCAGGTCTTCCTCCCCTCTACTCCGTAGCCCTGGTGAGGAAGGCCAACCAACAAATAAGCCGATACACCCTGAGGGGAAAGCGCTCCTGCCACAGCCACGTGTACAGCCCAGGTGGGTGGCTGCTGCTCTCCCAGTTCACAGCTGGGGCCCTGGAGAAAGGCAGCAGCACCTGCAACCTCACCTCTGGTAAGCCTTTCCTTCTGCCTAGCCAAGAGCTTGAGTCAAGAAGAGAGCGTCGTTGTGGGGAAGAATAAGATATTTTGAAGGTGTCACGATTGGGGTCCAAGGATTCATGACCCACAATAGGCACAGCAGGAGCTCAAGGTGGCAGCATCAGTTGGACATGAGAAACAGGACAGATTTTGGGATGAGCTTCCTATGAACAGATCTGCTTGATTTCAGCAAAGCCCTCTTAGTCCACCAATTTGTTTCTCCCAGTGGCCAGACAGATGTCCAGGATGGCTATAAAGAGCAAATGGAGATGTTCCTCTTTCACCTGTCTTCCCTGCAGTGGTGGTTGGGTGTCCCACCCATTGAGTCTTCAGGACCAGGAGCTCTGAATGGACCTGTCCTCCATCCTGTCTCTTTTTAAAATAACCTAAGAAGAGTATTGCAAGCTTGGGTGCCTGTTTTGCTCGTGTTGTACTTCATCTTTAACCACCTGGGGAGATCTTGCAAAGGCTCTTCCTGTGTTCCTGATTATGGATTTCCAATTATGGATTTAATGGGAAAACAACTTTACAGACAACTCTGGTTCCTAAGGCTCAAAGGGAGCAGTCAGATGAGCCTTTTCAGCCTGTCAAACCCATCAAGCCCAAGAGCTGAAATTTTAAAATAGTTGGCTCAGTGGTTGTGGGTGGGAGGGGAGGAATAAAATTTAGCAGGCCTTTCTCATGCTTCTCGTGAACAGTCAAGGGGGAAGGTGTCATCAGGTATGGTTCATTTACTGATTACCTCATTTAGTGACCGTTCAAGGTTACAGCGGTGTAAAATAGCTTTGTGACCAATCCTCCCATTTATAACTGTTGCCACATCCTGCAGCCATGTGATGACCATTCGGTGCTTTGCAATTGGTTTGCAACAAACAGCAGCGAAAGTCAAATTGATAACCCCAGCACCTCACTTAAGGACTAAAGGGGAAGTCAGGACATGAGTACTCATATGATTTTCTGCTTAGTGACCACAGTGCTTAGCATCTGAGTTGTTGGTCCTAACGCCAGTTGCTAAGCAAGGACTACCTGTACAGTAAAGATCGCAAGGCACTGGTCCCTGTAATTTAGTCAGTGGCACAGCAGCAACATCTGAAAGGTTCATGAACACGGGGGGTGGGGGGAGCTTCCAGTTCCTCCATTCTTGTTCTCCAGCTGCTGCTCGGCAGAGGTTATGCTGCCTGCAAACCTGGAGGCGCTGAGCAGTTACCCCAATGGTAGCAAATGATGTTTTTCTGTAGACTGCCTCCTAACCCTCCCTGATTTTGCACTGTAACCAGACACCTGGAGAAAGTCCCCTCTGCTAATATTCTAAGAAACCAAGTTCATTTTTTTTACTGGCTGGCTGGTTTGTCTATGTGCAGAGTGCAGTAAATGGAAAACCAGCATTGCATAATTCTGAGTAACCACCATCCTTTTCCCTTCTCTCAAAGCATACCAGAATTTTTTTTGGAAAGGCTGCATGCCAGGAGCCAATGGAAATCTGTGCAAAGTCTGCATTGGACAAGAGGGGAGAGTCAAGGGATCCTCTAAGTGTGCAGCTAATCATCATGAACGATACTATGGCAATCTGGGGGCCCTCAGGTGAGTCAGCCTGGAGAAAATATGACTATGGGGCCAGGCCTTAAGGTCTAGGGGTTTCCTGACTTTGGGACGTGATTTTGTGTGGGGTTTTCAGAATTCCTTTGGATACAAGCCCAACGAGAGACACTTCGGCACACTTTTTTTAATCTTCCAGATGCCTCTTGGGTGATCCCACTGGGAGAAGCTTTGGTGATGTTGCTCTTTTGGAACATCATAACCTACTTCAGAACATTGAATGTAAGATATTTTGTGTTATCTTTTCAGATTTTGGTAAGTTGCCACATGATAATTTTCAGATTAAATTTCCTCGAGGGTGTCAAACCTTGGAAACTTGAGGACTTGTGAGCTTCAACTCCCAGAATTCCCCAGCCAGCTCTATCAAAATGCTTAATTACAGGTGCCCAAATGGAAGAATTAAGGCAGGGGAGAAGCTGAAAGCTGCAGCCCGTCTCCTCCCTTCCCAATGAGCTCATTGTAATCCACTATGGCAGAAGCCATGCAGGTTGGAGCAGGCAGGAGATTCCTGTTATCAGGAGAGAAAAGAAGAAGAAGAGGAGATGAGGGGCTGGGCTTTTACTATGGGGCCCCCAGACATATAGCCAGTAACAGCACCAGGGACAGTCATCGCAAGAGGATGCAACACTTGCAAATCAACAAGCACAACAAGCACAAAGCCAGCAAGCATCGAGTTGGATGGGGAGACATCAGCTTAGAATGAATCCTACCAAGAGTAGCTGCAGAAACAGAGAGAATCTGCCTTTGACTCTGGGTGGCATTTCCCTCAATGGGGCTGCTCTGCAGTTTGAAGTTCTTCCTGGATTCCCCATGTCTGCTTTTCTTTCACACCTGCTTTTCACACCTCGATTGATTTTTGGCGAGGAGCCCTTTCTGTCCTTCACTCTTCAAGTTCAGTGCTCAGAAAATCAGTGATGATCATATCACTATTTGGTGAGATTCCCAGAAAATGTTGTGATGCTGAATAGATCAAGTTGGTTACTTTGTTCCTTACAGATCTGACTAGCTCAGGATGGGCCACCGGCTACTCTCCCGGGGATTTTGAACTCCTTTGCCCAGACGGGAGCCGAGCAGCCATAACAGCTTGGAGGACCTGCAACCTGGGCTGTGTTCCTCCCAGCATTGTGGTGACTCGACCAGTGACTGTCACTAAGGTCCAGGATTTCTTATTAAAGTCCCAGGTAAGTTTGACAGCTGACTGAAGGCATGTCAGGATTACCATTCATCAGAACAGGAAGCTTAGCATAGAGAACAATTTCCATCAACTGCATCATCTGGGGACAGAGTTAATTCAGGGTATATAGATACAGATTAACAGAGTTGGAAGGGACCTTGTAGGTGATATAGTCCAACCCCCCAAGCGAGATACACATTTCTGACAGATGACAGTCCAGTCTCTTCTTGAAAGCCTCCAGTGATGAAGCTCCCACAACTTCTGAAGGCAACTTCTGTTCCATGGGTTGATTGTTCTCACAGTCAGAAAATCCCTCCTTATTTCGAGATTGAATCTCTCCTTGGTCAGTTTCCATCCATTATTCCTTGTCTGGCCTTCGGGAGCTTTGGAAAACAGGTTGACCCCTTCCTCTCTCTGGCAGCCCCTCAAATATTGGAAGTGCTCTCTTGTCTCCCCTGGTCCTTCTCTTCACTAGACTAGCCAGGCCCAGCTTCTGCAACCATTCATCGTATGTTTTAGTTCTCTCTCATCACCCCCATGAGAAGCAGCCAGTCTTTGGAGTCTGTTCCTGGCTACAGTGACGGACTGGAGGAGAGCCAGAAAGTCCGCTTCTGATGAGGTGGAGGCTTTGATGTGGGCTGAGCTGGTGCCTGCAGGAGTCCCTGGCTCAAGTTGGTTGCCAAAGGCCCAAATTGCAACCGTGTGACTGTGGGGTGATACAGCAGTTGTAAGTTTGAAGACAGATCAAAATTCACTTTTTTCAGTGCTGTCGTTATCTTTGAACTGTTCTTAAACGAATGGTTTTAAGTCGAGAGTTACTTGTAGTGCTCACAATTCAGTGATGTTGAAATGACAATACACAAACACACACACACAGTGATTTCATTGCAGAAGTTGTGACTATGCACTTGCATCCTGATTTGAGTACACAAGTTGCAATATTAGTGTGATGAGTTACTAGTATGACATTAGTGTCATCCAGCTCTTAGTTTAATTAGCAAAGGAGAAAGACTCCTGGCTCATTTCTTTTGCCAGGAGTGGACTCTGCTGAGAACAAAGCGGTCACAGAGGAGACAGGCAGAATCTGTTGGCTAATTAACTTCTCCTTTTCCCCTGGCTGCCCTCCCTTACTCCCTCCACTGTTGTTTCCTGCCTTTCTCATCTCCACATTCCTTTGCTCCCCACAATCACGGCCGGCTCTGCTTCAAACCCAACCCCCAACCCCCCCATCTCTCCCTCTCCCACCGTTGCTGATGTCAAACTGGCAAAAGATACAAGGTGAAGCAAGCAGCAGAAACCGCTATGACAATATCCCACCTGTGGTTCACTGACAAATGCCTGCTCGACAAAAGCACGCCAATGAAACCGCGTTGAGAAAACCGCGAGGTCGAAATCGTGCCGACGAATGAGCGCAGAAGCGCGCCAACAACAGCGTGCCGACAAAAGCACGCCTTCAACAAACCTAAACCTAACCCTAAACCTAACTCTGAACCTAACCCTAAACCTAACCCTGAACCCTTACCTTAACTTAAATCGCGCTTTTGGGGCCCTGGTTTTGTCAGCGCGTTGTGGGTTCGTTTATGACATCGCGGTTTTCTCGCCACAGTTTTGTCGGTGCGCTTTTGTCGTGCGCGCATTTGTCGGGTCACGCCACCTGTTCGCCTCCCCCCCACAATCAACAGGCTTTGCTGGCAGTCCCTGCTCTCCAGTTTGGGCTCTTTCCTTTCAGGAATCAAGCAAGAACAGTTTTCAGCTCTTTGAGTCGCTAAGATATGGAGGAAATGACCTGCTCTTTAAAGACGCTACTCAAGGCCTCGTCTTCACAGGCCAGTTGGACTTCAAGTCGATTCTTGGACAGTCTTTCTTTCAGCTTGCCCAATCCGTCTTCAGCTGCACCTCTGCAGGTAACCTGTCCTTGTGAAGGAGACGGAGGCCAGGCTGGGCTTTCCTCTCAAACTCCCCTGGTCTCTCTTGCCTGTAGAATGAAAGACTTGGCCCAGTAGAATCAAATCATTCAGGAGTCTCCAAACCTGGCAACTTTAAGACTTCAGCTCCCAGAATTCCTCAGCCAGCTCTGATTTGCTCCATCCAGAGAAAGTAAAGCCATTCACACCAAAACAAAATTCTAGTGTTTATATACCTATGTTATTTATAGTAGCCATATAAAAATAGAAAATAAAAACATTTACCTTAACTCTATGCTTTAAGCCCTAAAGTAGCTGGGTTAAAAAAAAACAGCTTGAGGAGTTCTGCTATAGTACCTGGTTTGGGTGATGAAGCATCTGCAAGAAAGCAACCAAGCTCAGGGAGCACCAAGTACCCCACAGTTTAACCCTCAACTACAAACATTTGCCTTTATCAGTAAAACACAGCTTGACAGGATCTTTGAGTTCTTAGATTAAATGGAATTGGAGCCAGACGTGAATGTAAAACCTCCAAGGACTGACAGGAAAATCAGAAACCAACTGTTCTATCCCTAACAGCTCCTAGTTCATACCTGGTAAGGTTGAATAATTTTGTTGAAGGATACTATTGTGGGAGGCAATAGGAAAAAGAGCCTTCCTCCTGACCCGCTTTTTGAGGCTGGAGCTCCTACCACACAGGACTCGGCAAGAGCCCACCTGTCCCATAGCCTCAGCAGGATCCTGCCGTCTTCCAATCCCATGACAGAGAATGGTGCGGCTGGTGCTCCAAGATATCTCAGGCCCTGAATTAAAGCATTGAGGTTGCATTGAAATTAGATGCCAGGTGAATTCTGCCCTCTGATAAAATGCTTTTTCAAGTAGGTGAGATTTTGAGATAAATTTAAATGATGCACAAATGTATCTGTCTACTTAAACTGCTGGGTGCTTAATCATTCTGGTGGGGGACCTGAATTCTGCCCTTGTGTACGTTTAGGGGCAGTCTTGGATGCCACAGTGGGCACATTTCCCTTGGAGATGTTTAACGCTGCCATTCTTGGTTTTCAGGTATCCTAGACTTTTGCGAACTGGATACTTGTACCTCTTCCACACAGCCTTGAGGTTATCCAGAGAAGCTCTCTTCAACTCTGCCAGCTGAAAGAAGAGAGAGACACCTATACAAGCTTTTTCTGTCACCAATTCTGGTTTATGGCAATTTTCCAATTTTCTTATACAACATCCAAGTTATCCTTCAGCATCTATTGGAAAATCCATCTTTGAATCTATCCTACTGGTATGTTAGCCAATGGAAGGCATCCATGCAATGGATTAACTCTCACCCCCCCCTCCATCTCTAGAATTCACAATCCCAGCCAGATTTTGGCTGCACCTGCCACCTTTTCAGCTCCACTCTGTCTTCTGCCTTTCGTGAGGAGGGAGGGAGGAAGGGAGGCAGGCTGATGTGGGAACTCTCCTCTTGTATCTGCATCTCTCTCTGGTTACCTCCCATCACTTCTGCATTCAGCATTGATCTGTTCATTTTCTCTGAGTCAAAGTTCCATCTGAATGAAGAAGAACTGGTTGAGACAATGGCACAGCTCCAATTTCCCCAGTCCCTGGCAAGAAGCTATCTTGGGACCCCAGGAGTTTTGTTTCCCTGGCTTTAGCAGGATGTAAGAAGAGCCGGGACTCTCCTCTTAATCCTTCCCTTGACTGAAGCAACAGCCCAAAGTTTACTCCAAGGACACACTGAAGCTTTTTGTTGCCCAGCTACTCTAAACACAAATGCATCAGTGATGAGCCCCCCACTTCCAAATCGAGCCAGGTGACTAGCAGCTTTATGTGTCCAGGTTCCTACCGATGCCCAAGGCAGGCCAAGGATGCTTTAGGGGTAGACATTATGGCCATGTCCTCTGCTGAGCAACCATTTGGGCACCGCTTGCCTTTGCTTTCTTCCTAGGACGGTTGATAACAGTGGGATTTCTTGGAGGTGTCCCTTCCTGAGGTCAGTTAAGGTAATATAACCCAGCCAGTAATTGCACAGGGTATTAATTTTATAGTGCTGTTCCCCCTCACCTGAAAAAAGAACTCTGTGAAGTTCCCCATTTGCTTCCAGCCCTTTCTAGATTTTGCACCTGGTGTTAACAGTTCAGCTAAATAAACAAGGCTATCTCCAGGTCACTGCACAGCCAAGGTTTTCTGAGAGGTCCCTGGCGTATTAGAGAGGTGACAATAGTGGTAGCTTACAATAGTGTACAATAGTGAATGGGCTCCATAATAAAGTTTGCAGAAATGGTACTTGTACTTTACAACAAGGAGAGAGAACTATCCTGTTGATAGCAATGCTCATGAAGGTAGTCTTGAAGCTAAGCAATCTGCCAGCATGATCCCTTAACATTCAAAGGTGGAATTAAGGCTGTGAGCCACAAATCCCCAAACATGTCTTTCCAAACGAAGGGAATGAAGAGTGGGACAGAAACCGTAATTGACGAATACATAGAAATGCATAAACTCACTAAAGCGGATCTATTCCCAGAAAGCCAGAAATCTCATAAGCAGAGCCATGAATATCCTCCACAGGGGACATTTTCATTTATGCTGAAGCAGAATTGGTGGTAGTTTTAATAGAAACATCATTTGCATGTCAGCTCAAGTTAATTTAGGGCTTCAGACTTCATAACAATGTACAGGATTGCACTCATAGTTTAGTGAACTTAACAGTTTTGCTTACATTAAAATAATTGAAAAATATACAGGTGAAACTCGAAAAATTAGAATATCGTGCAAAAGTTCATTTATTTCAGTAATGCAACTTAAAAGGTGAAACT